CTGCCCTTAAACAACTTCTAAGATTCCATGATTGTATACATCTAAAAACCAGACAGCTCCTTGTAACCTCCCTTATATTCCTCCACTTTGACTACGGGTGTTTGGTGTATGGAGGGCTATCTGCCAGGCTAGAAAGGAAAATAAAGAAACTCATGAACTGTTTCATAAGATAAATCTTCAGGATTCCCAGGTGTTCGCATGTATCATTTTGGTACACTGAGTTGAAGTGGCTTTGTCCCACTTCCCGACGACAATTCCTCCTTGGTGTTTTCCTTTCCCAAGTTCTCAGAACCAGAAACCCTCCCTACATCCTGCAACTCCTTACTCTATGCTCCTCTATCCACTCTCGTAATACTAGGTCTCAACCTATAGATTTATATATCCTCTCCCATAAAACTACTTCCTTCAGCAAATCCTTCGTCATTCGTGCTATCTCCTTTTGGAACTCTCTTCCTACCTCCATACGTCAATCCTCGTCCACAAATTCCTTCAAACAACTCCTGTTCCACCACCTACTCCACATTCAAACTTCCCCTAACATGTAAAATTACTTGCATCTATACAATGTTTAATTTCAACTATTGCATAACTGCAACAACAATAAGCAGTATATTAGCTTGTATTTTGATTATTTTAAGCCAGACTAATACCCATAAATTTGTAACACTGTTAATATTCTTAGGGGACAGTAGTCCTAGAATAAAATTATTTTTTAATTTCATTTCATTTCAATATATTGAAAATAAAACTTACAAGTTTTACATAAAATTTAAAATTCTAAAGTATTGTAGCCATAGATGGGCATAATCATAAAAACGATTATGATTACGATTATAATCAAAAAGATTTTTGATTTTGATTATAATCGCGTAATCATGTAATCGTAATTGTGTAATCATAATCAAAAAATCAAATACACATGATTTTCCTCTGTTTAGGGATAGAATAAAAGGAAAACGAGTATAAAGCATTTTCTATTTTCTTTTAGCTGTCGGGAGCACTTTCTATGATACCGTTTTAACATTTAATATTTTCCTAATATTCATTCGCTTTTCCTCTTTTATCTTGTGAGCGAATGCTGGATTTTACACCGCTCCAACAGTTATCCGACTATGTGGGTGACAATGGAAAATTGGTGTAGAAACTTTTTGAATTTCCATTTGCTTTTTTTTCTTTTATCTTTTAAATGGATGCTCAGTTTTTCGCCATTCAAAGAATTTTATAACTATTTACAGGAGACCAATGAAAACAGGATTAGTACTAATTTTTCAAATTTTCATTCGCCTATCCTCTTTTATCTAGTGAATATAGGATCGGTTATTCACCGTTCCAACTGTTTTCCGACTATGTATATGTCGGCAAAAATGGGGAAATGTAGAAACTTTTTCGAATTTTCATTCGCTTTTTCTCTTTTATCTCGTGAAAGAATGCATGTTTTTTCACCATACCAACTGTTTTCTGACTATGTAGATGTAGGTGAAAATCGGGAAATGTAGACAATTTTTCGAATTTTCATCCTCTTTTCGTCTTTTATATCATGAACGAATGCTTGTTTTTTCACATTACCAACTGTTTCCGGACTATAGAGATATAGGCGAAAATGGGGCAATGGTGTAGAAAACTTTTCAAATTTTCATTTGCTTTTCCTCTTTTAACTCGTGAATGGATGCTCGGTTATTCACCGTTCCAACTGTTATCCGACTATGTATAGCTAAGTAAAAATGGAAAAATGGCATGGTAAATTTTCCGAATTTTTATATCCTTTTCATCTTTTAACTCGAGAAGGGATATTCGATTTTTTACTGATCCAACAATTTTATAACTGTTTAGAAATAGACCATTAGTGGTACAAATTTTGCGAATTTTCTTTCGCTTTTCCTCTTTTATCTCGTATATGAATGCTGTATTTTTCACCGTTCAAATAGTTTTTCGACTATATAGATGTAGGCGAAAATGAAGAATTTATGTTGGAAATTTTCCGAATTTATAGCAGCTTTCCTCTCATGTAGATAGTCGGAAAACAGTTGAAACGGTGAAAAACTGATTCTCTATTCCCGAGATAAAACAGGAAAAGCGAATGAAAATTTGAAAAAATTGAACCACTTCTGTATCCATTGGCTTTCCTCTAAGCCGTTATAAAATGGTTGAAACGGTAAAAAACTGATTCTTCATTCCCGAGATAAAATAGGTAAAGCGAAAGAAAATTCAGAATTTGTTTGCACTATTTCTCTGTTTTCGTCTACCATTTCATAGCTGGGAAATTATTGGAACTGTAATCCGTAAAATCTATCCTTCATTCCAAAGACAGAAAAAGCAAAAGAAAATTCTGATTGAAAATTGTCCAGACCATTTGTCCGTTTTCGCCAGCTGTACATAGTTGGAAACTGTTGGAACAGTAAAAAATTGATCCTTCATCCCTGGGATAAAACAAGAAAAGCGAATGAAAATTCGGAAAATTTTTTACGACTCCTGTTTCCATTGGCTTTCCTCTGAGCAGTTATAAAATGGTTGAAATGGTAAAAACTGATCCTTTATTCCCGAGATAAAATAGGTAAAGTGAAAGAAAATTCAGAATTTTTTTTACACTATTTCTCTGTTTTCATCTACCTCTACATAGCCGGAATACTGTTGGAATGGTGAAAATCTGATCCTTCATTTCCGAGATAGAAAAAGAAAAGTAAATGAAAATTCGGAAAATTGTTACCACTCCTTTTTGCATTGGCCTGCCTATATACAGTTAACGGAAAAAAATATTTGAATACCACAATAATGAATAACACAATAAAAAATATTCCACAGTCCATTTAATTACATTAACTTGTCAAAGTTGATAAAAATTAAACATTTTCTGTTATTAGCCCAATTTCGCTTATTATATTTTGTAATCTATAAGTTACTGTTATTATGAGACCTCATAGTTTTATCTCAGCCTTTGTTTTAATATCTATGTCTTTTGTCTTTGGCATCCCCAGGCGCTTCCAAGTCTCTAGTTGTTATGATGAGTTTAAGTGACTCTATCCAGTTTTTCATCTGCAATATTTCCTAGATATATTCCTTTTCTGAACGTTTACAACATTACAATTTTTCCATGTTCTCAGTAATCAATCTTCAGACTACAAGTAAAAATAATGTTTTCGTCTTTTAGAGCTGTCAACCGCATTTTACTGTTATCTTATATATAATTATTCATATTGCTTATCTGTACAAACATGTGAACTCACTCATATGTATTTATCTATAATTTCATATGTCTACTAGTGCCTTTTTTTTTTCATTTTAATATTAGGTTTATTTGAGTTCTACCAATGGATAGTTTCTCTTCATGTTGTACATGCCATGTTACAAATTTCTCATTTACTTATTGTATTCTCTATGTAATACAGTTGTAAATTCCATTAAAATAATTTTAAAAAAAAATATATTAGGTTTAACTTTGTAATTTAATTTATTTTCAATTGTTTTACAATGCCAGTCAACTGTCATTTCATTGTTCATTGTAGTTATTCTTAGTGGACTTAATGTCCCAGAGTAAAATTTGATTTTTTTTCTTCTTCCTCTTTCTTCCTATGTATGTCTATTATTGTAACCAATTCTAAATTAACATTCTTGTTATACTAAGCATAAAATAGATAGAAAATGTTTCTACAAATATTTGATGTGCTTTTATTAATATGGAAGATCTTGTTTGCTGAACCTTAAAAAAAAAGTTTATACTTCCTACAAAATCAAAAAGTAAAATATACAATTTACATATTCATGTCTTTCACAGACATTAATTCAAACCTGATAGAAAATTTATACCAGCAATAATCACTAATCTAGTACATACACTATGTTTTTATTCTAACAATTAAACAGACACACGCACACATACATACATATATATATATAAATAAATATATATATATATATATATATATATATATATATATATATATATATATATATATATATATATATATATATATATATATATTAAATGAACTCACTGATCATTGCAGTAATATTGACATTCCTAATAGTCATCAACTTATTAATTTGATTCATCACCACCTCTATAATCACTTGAAGAAAAAAATTGAGTAGTTAAAGAAATAACATGAAGTGGAATTTCAATATAACTGATTTCAGTTTTCACCTTGACAACCATCAGAGTCCTAATGCAATCACAGCTAGACTCTTGAGGCTTGAATTACATCACTGTAAATCATATTTGTGTATATTTTAATGTATAATACTGATACTTTATGTATGTATGTATGATACTTTATAGATCATCACTGTGAATATGAATACACTGAATTAATATTTTATGAATGAAGCAAAGCACAGAGATGTTCAGGGTAAGACAATAATAAATAAATTGTTAAGACACCTCCTTGGTGTTGGTTCTAATTAAACAAATATGTGATTCTGCTCATAATAAAGCTTTGTCAAACCAGCAGGCTAATACTAGAACATCTCTATATGGTTTTATAAATTCTTTCAGGGTACTTATTTCTTGATGGCAATTCCTTATTAACTCATGAGATATCTTTTTGGTATGAGGGCTTGTCCCCTGGATTATAACAACTGAGGTTAGGAAGTTTACCCCTCTGCTTGTATCCATAAGATCAGGAGGGTCATGCCTCCATTTGTAATTCATCTACAGTTATGTAATGTCTGGAGGTTCATCCCCTCAATTGTAGCAAACACATGACCGTTTCCAGCCATGAACCCTTACAGTTCCTGACTAGTGCTAAAGTCAATGGCTGAACCCTTTAACAAACCAAATCCTTTTTCACCTACCACTCCTTTTATCTATCTAATTATTTATCTTGGACTCATATACACAAATTTAAGTAAAAATAATTATTATCTTAAAAAATAATCACATGATTTTAAGTTAAAATAAAATTGGAAAAGAATGATATTTGATACAATATGATTATGGAAAAAGAAAGAAAGGTTAAAATAATGAATATTGCTAAAAAAAAGAACTACAAAAAAAATATTTTTACCTGGTACCAACATAGGCTTTAGCTCCATTTCATTTTGAGGTTCATCTCTTTCATTGCCCTTCTTCATAATGACATATCCCTCAGGTGTGTTATCGGGTAAACCTGCTGCTAAACAATTTTCATATGTAGGTTGTACCATTTTACTCAGATGATCTGATTCAGCAGATAACTGAGCATTGAGATTTAAATAAGGGTTGTTGAGATCCAGATAATGCTAGAATAATAAAAAATATAATAATCAGAAACTATATTCATAGAACATAAAAGACAAAAATAATTTATTTGTTATAAGTTTGAAGATGCTAAAAGTTTTAGTTAAAAAAATATTTGAAGGATATTTACATACATACATTTAATACACACACACACAAGACGCTATCAGAGAGCAAGGTATTGAACAGAGTATTACATGCTTCAAGAACAGTTCGAGATTCCATGAAGAAACCTCAAAAGAACCATTAAAGAAAGTAAACGACATTGCTGGAGAGAATTCCCGCTTGGCCACCTCACCCCCTTACTTAAACAATGTCAAGCCGGGTGAATAATTTGATGGGTAACCGCCTGAATCTGGTGACCATCCATTAAGAATAACCATGCTGCCCAATATGCCCACAGGTATGCGAGTCCCATTAAACTGAAAGCAACTCACACACAGCAGGTGTAGGAGTGATGGCCCTACCCTGTTTATTTCTTTTTTTTTAAATCGAGAATCAGGATATGATTTCTTCAATATACGGGTTCACTAATAAATTTTCTGGGGGCTTTTAATGAAAAAAACTGTCCGATTCAAGATAGCGCATCGAATATTTGTAACTTCAAGGATTTTTTCAATATAAGGGTCCACTATTATGTTGTTGTTGATGTTTAAGATTGCGTAATTCAATATCAAAACAATTAAAAATCAAGTTTTTGATATTTTTCAGATTTCTTCCAAATAAGGTCCACTATTATTTTGTCGGGGGCACTTTTTATAAAAATACTGTCAGATTTAAAATTCCACATCAAATATTTGCAGCTTTAAAGATTTTTCGATGTAAGGGTCCCCTATTATGTTGTCAGGGGTGCTTTTTATGAAAATACTGTCGTATTTAAGATTGCGTAGTTGCACATAAAATATTTGTAACTTTTAGGATTTTTTCGATGTAAGTGACCACTTTTATGTGGTCGGGGGTAGCTTTTGATGAAAATAATGAGACTTAAATTGTGCTTCGAGCTTTTGATACTTTCCGGATTTCTTCAATATTCACTAATAAATTTTCTGGCGCACTTTTTATGAAAATACAGATTGCGCAATTGTGCATCAAATATTTGTTACTTTATGGATTTTTTTGATACAAAGGACCACTTTTATGTGGTCGTAACTCTAACAATCTCAATAAAATGAGGTCATTAGGCCGATATATTTTTCTTTAGAATGTCGGAATCTGCTCAAATTAATGGTTAAGTCAATTTCTTGGCAAGCAATTGAGACATTTACTATCAATATAAATAATATTCCAAATGAAATTCAATGAATCAAAATAAAATAAGAATGTAAGGCCGACATATCGGTCTAATGGGAGGAAAAAATATTTGTAAGATGAGGAGCACAAAAAAAAACTGAAAAAAAAAATTTTAAAATTGCCAAAGTCTACTGATCTCTATAAAATAAGGTTGCAAGGACGATATATCGGTCTTTCCTCAAATTTATGTTTATGTCGATCTCTTGACGTTGGATTGAAACATTTATTAGTAACAAAAATAATATTTTAACTTTAAATCTCGATTTAATATTATCGTATAGCGGTGTTTGAAATATTGTTTTATACTCAAATGAGGGGAAGGGAAAGACAAATATAAAATGAATAAATAAATAAAAATAGTATAACTCTAACAATCTCAATAAAATAAGGTCATTAGACCGATATATTCGTCTTTAGAATGCCAAAATCTGCCCAAAGTTATGTTTATGTCGATTCCTTGGTGACAGGTTGACACATTTATTATCAATGTAAATGATATATCTGTCTAATGGGAAGAAAAAAAAAAAAAGATGCTGACCATAAAAAAAATGAAATAAATAAATAAAATGTCAAATTCAACAAATCTCGATAAAATAAGGGAGTAAGGCCGATATACAGGTCTTTGCTTAAATTTATGTTTATGTATATACGAATCATGATAAAATAATAATAAATTATAATAGTTTGTGGATTATAATAAATTACAATCATAAGGCCGATATATTGGTCCAATGGGGGAACTATAAGTTTTTGTAAGAATAGGAGCACAAAAAAAAAAACCTCTATCAATCTTGATAAAATAAAGTTGTGAGGCCTGTTTCTGTTCGGATATATCGCTCTTTCCTCAAATTTATGTTTATGTCGATTCCTTGATGATTGATTGAGACATTTATTCGCAATACAAATAATAATCCAAATTAAACTATAAGAATCTTGATAAAATAAGATCATTAGGACTATATATGGGTCTTTAGAAAATTGGTATAAGCTCAAATTTTGGGGAAATGAGAATAAAAAAAACGACATATATTGTTTTTTAGAATATTGGTATCGGTTGAAATGTATATATAGATTTAGCCCTGGATGATTGATACTTATAATATTGATATTGATATTGATGATTGGACTTGTAATTACGAGACTGTACAGAACCAGACATATAGGAACGAAAGGCCGATATGCTGAAATATAGGTTTATTTTTCTTTTATCGGTAAAAAATTGTCTATAAAGTGATGTGTAGATGGTCAACTAATTCTTTTATTTAGCAAGGAGTAGAATATTCCATGTGAAACTGTACAAACCTTAAAGAAAATGGAAAAAAAGAACGATGTGGCCGATATATCGGCCTATATGTTCCTGACATCATAATAGTAGATCAATATACTGAAAAATCTAAAAAGTATCAGAAACACGATGGGTAATGGCACATTCTCAAATCCTAATGTAAAAAAAAAAAAATCCACAATCTTAAACAACAACATAGTAGTGGACTCTAATGTTGAAAAAATCCTTAAAGTTACAAATATTCGATGCGCAATCTTTAATCCATCAGTATTCTCATCAAAATCGCTAACAATTTATAACAGCTATTAAGCTTTGAAAAAGAATACAATTTTGCTACTTCACGAAAACATGTTTATTTTTTTGTTTTCATTAAACATCTATTTTCCTCCTTCAGCTCAAATATATTTTTATTGAATGTTGAACTAATCAAAATGGACAAAAACTATTGTTAGGAATATATTTTTCTAAAATTAATAATTATGTAGCAACAAAACACATTAAAAAAGTCCTCTTTTTTTCACTGGTAAATTGAGAGAGACAGTTTAGTGGGTTTCGTTCAACTGTTTGCATTAAAAAATGTAATTAATTTTAAAACAAGTTTATGTTTTCAATTAAAATGTCTAGAAAATTCTAACAAAATATTTTTTATTTATTTATTTAGAAATATAATAATCTGTCACGTGCACAATAATTATAATGATATATGAACACATTCACACCATATATACAGAAAACATAAAATTAACAAAAGTAAAATAATTCTAAATAATAATCAAAAACTATGTACAATAAAAACAAAAATGACCTAAAGATAAGTAAATTATAAACACAATCAAACCTATATACAATATATAAAATCAGGCAGGGAACCCCAAGCCAGGCTTCTCCCCCCAACTATAGAAGGAAAAGCATGACTACTTATCCCAGCGCTACTCTCTCAACCGCTCACTGGTGCTAAAGCCAGTGGAGTTTGAGCGAGAGCGCTTTAGCCACATACACTCATATCTTGAGTGGAGAATCTGGCCATTGCCAGAACTCCAAGATATATACTACAAAAGATCTCTGGGCCACTGCTACTTCAACCTTCGAGGAGGATTGTAGGGATGAGTGGAACTAGATAGGGAATGTGCAAAGGGATTTGGATGATTTACAAGGTTCTGGTGGAATTTGGAAACATTTTCAGGGATAAGGTCAAGAACAAATGGGATATTAAGATCATGATGTAGGGTTTTGCTCTCGGTGGAACCTGTCCACTAGGGAGCGCGTCCCCCGGGTGGCGGATAGGGGATCCCTCTTAGGAGGGGTGGTCTGAATATACTGAATAAAGACCCGTGGACCAACAGGTACCCAGTGCTGGGGGGTATAGCCCGGCCACCCTTCCTCCTGAGGGGATATAAATATTCAGGAGGCCAGTTGTCCCGAGGATACGGGACCTCCAGCACTGGGCTAATCACCCGTCTGGAGAATCAACGATTCAAAGCAATTCAACTAGCCTCGGATGTGGACTGTCTTCAAGGAAACGACCTGGCGCACTAAGGGATATACGAATTGGAACGTGGAACATAAAAACTTTAACTGGGAAGGAGGTCGAGCTGGTGGAGGAAATGAGGACCTACAAAGTAGAAATCCTCGGCATAAGTGAAGTGAAGAAAAAGGGCAGTGGAGAAATGAAATTGGCTAATAATTACTCCCTAATTTATGCTGGAGTACCTAGAGGGGTTTTCGCCAAAGAGGGAGTGGGTCTAGTAATGTCGCCTAATATGTATGATCATTTAGAGGACTGGGAGCCGATATCTCCAAGAATGATTGTAGCAGATTTTAAGATGACCATAGGTAAGATTTCCATAATCCAGGTGTATGCACCAACGGAAGATGCTAGTGTTGCAGACAAGGAGGCATTCTACTCGGATTTGCAAAAAATAGTAGATAAAGCTAAAGGAAAAGGAAGGTCAGTAATCCTGAGTGGGGACTTCAATGCCAGAACAGGAAATGATGAAAGATCTGGATATGGAGTTTTGGGGCTGCATGGAGGTGAGAATGTGAGGAATACTAATGGACAACGGCTAATAGACTTTTGCGTGCATAATGACTTCCTCATAGGAAATTCCTTCTATCCACACAAGAGAATCCACAAAATCACTTTCTCATGCATGGAACGAAATAGTATAATTGACTATTTCATATATGATAGGAACATAAGGCAGTATTTCGCTGACATAAAAGTAGTAAGAGGAGCGGAGATAAGCAGCGACCACCTTTTACTTGTGGCTGATACAAAGATCATCCCGGAGTATAAAAGGAAAACAAAAGTATTTGAAACCCTCAACGTAAGAGCCTTGGATGACCCAGAGAAAAGGGCCCTCTTTACAGAAAGCCTGGAAAATAAATTAAGGGAAACGTCATTCGATGGAGATGTGGAAGAGATAT